ACAACTTGTCTCCGATTCCCTGGTCAACTGAACGCTGACTTACGCAAATTAGCAGTGAATATGGTTCCTTTCCCTCGATTGCATTTCTTCATGCCTGGCTTTGCTCCGCTAACATCACGAGGATCTCAACAGTACCGTGCTCTTACAGTGCCAGAACTTACACAACAAATGTTCGATGCCAAGAACATGATGGCTGCCTGCGATCCCCGACACGGTCGTTATCTCACTGTTGCTGCTATCTTCCGTGGTAGGATGTCAATGAAGGAAGTTGATGAGCAAATGCTGAATATCCAAAATAAGAACAGCTCATACTTTGTTGAATGGATCCCCAATAACGTAAAGACTGCCGTGTGCGATATTCCACCCAGAGGTTTGAAAATGTCTGCTACATTTATTGGTAATTCGACAGCTATTCAGGAATTGTTCAAGCGTATCTCGGAGCAGTTCACTGCTATGTTCCGTAGGAAAGCTTTCTTGCATTGGTACACAGGCGAAGGCATGGACGAAATGGAATTCACTGAGGCTGAAAGCAACATGAACGATTTGGTCTCAGAATACCAACAGTATCAAGAAGCAACCGCTGACGAAGATGCCGAATTCGAGGAAGAGCAAGAAGCTGAAGTTGACGAAAATTAAATTTTTGAAAATGGGTGCTCAGATGTTCGGGGGATTCGTTAAATCGAATTGTATTTTTATTTAATTGAATAAAGTCAGTTGGCTTCAAAAGTTCGAAAAAAGCAAATAATACTAAATATTTCTGTATTTTTAATTAAATTAGCTAAATGCTTGGGTTCGAAAAAAAATTGGGTACGTAGAGGAATGTTTTATAAAATGCAAACAGAGGCGAATACATTTTTTCTTGTTCAGAAATGCAGTCTCTTTTATTAACCGACTTCCAAAAAAGGAGGAGGTTATCAGTTCGTAGGATTTTTATTTTGTATGTATGTTACCGCATAATTTGGGCCACGTCAACCGATTTCGATAGTTCTTTTTGCTGCATCGGAAAGGTAGTGTCTTATACTACGTTTATACGTAAGATATTTGCAAATAACAATAATTTGCAAATACCTAACTCACTGTTTATTCGATGGTGAAAATTTTTTTTTTAATATTGGCCGATTATAAAAAGGCAATAACATGACTATCGAAAAACAAAATAAAGTTAAAAATGGCAACGTCTTGATTATAAAAAGGCAATAAGATGATCATCGAAAAAGAAAATAAACCTAAGAATGGCGGCGTCTTGCGCTTATTTGCAAATAGTACCACTAATCAATACTTATTTGCGTGATTCAGTTATTTGCAAATAAAAAATTTACTCGGCGTTTATACGGCAAAATTTACCATTTTGCAAATTGTTATTTGCAAACAATACGTGCGTATGCCCGTAGTAATAGAAAAGCCCTAACTCATATAGTCGCTAAAATGCAAAAAAGGCGTAACTGACAAAAAAATGTTTATTGCTTAAAATGATGTGGGGACTTATAATTCGATGAAATGCAATAATAATCAATCAAAAAGAGAATTTGGAATTTTTACTTAGTTACGGCTTTTGTATTTCAGCGGCGATGTGAGATAGGGCCTTTTTATATTAAGGTAACGGATATGTACATTTGATATATAGTTACTATTAGAATCTAAAAATGTTTCAGCAAACTCGGAAAATTTAATAAATAGACATATATATAAATATTGCTGACGTAATCATCAAGCAGGCCCCAGGGGTTTTTGGGGTTGGTCCTTGTCATCAAAAATAAGCAAAGGTAAGCACGTAAATGTTGTTTTCGCCCTAATACTTCTGCTTGTTTTATATGCCTTGATCTACAATACAGCCTATCCAGGTACATATTTTTAGGCTTCGTGTTCTGCATAAACATCCGCAGCTTAGTCATAGTAGTGCCATACTTGAGAAGTAGAAACGCCCGAAATTATGCTTATATAATAGGAAACAAATGAGTGCATTGCTTTATGCATGAACTATGAGTCATATTAGTTGCATAAGCGTAAGTAAGAAATTTAGCCAGAGCTGCATTCTTACCCCGTGCATATGTATTTCTTCTATGAATCATTTTCATTTTCACCCTTATTATGTCCTAAAAGGTAGAACCAACGAGGTAATATGACTCATCCTGTCAATTGTTTACGTAGTTACACGTATATAATGTGTATGTATTTCCACCTTTCATGTAGATCGCCAGAATAACAACAACCAATTTACGCACATATGTAAGTACATCGATATGTATGTGTGTATGTACTTAGACATATATGATATATGCCGCGGATATAGGCGTACACCAAATCGGTTACTAATCGCAGCGCTAAAACAACGGCATGCAGATTAGAGGTATACGCCGCCGAGCCACGCCGCCGCCGCTGATTTTTGTCATTTCTCACGCGCCGCCGCCGAGTTACGAAAATATCGGCGCGGCGGCGGCGGCGTTCGGCGCCTAAGGAATTTTGTACAAAATTTTCACGTTGTATGCACATTGAAATACATACATACATCGTTTGAAGGAACTAAATACTACTCGTTTAAAAACACAGTTTTACGAAATGAAAATTACTTTTTTAGAGGAGTTTTTTTTTTGCATAATTTGGGCCACTGGACAAGAATATTATCTTTATTTTTCCAAAAAGAGCGTAACTCAGAAAAAACATAGGTAACATATTTTTCGATCGAAAGCGTTTATTACAGTTAAATTAGGGTCGAATACTAGTAATCTAACGATTTCTTTCCGCATTAGACAACTTTGTCCAATACTACAACAACAATAAAGTTATACACATCAAAAACTTTAACGCCAATATCTCAGAAAGCAGTTTTAACCGAAGCAGCTTCTGTTCATCTAACTCATTCCATCTAACTCCTCAATTATTAGAGATAAAACAAAGGCAAGTTGATTTTCCTGAGTATTTTTATTTTTTTTATTTTAAACAGACTTTAAATAAAGAGCAAACACTTATTTTTGCTATCTTTTACATTCGTAAGTTATTTTATTCTGGGGTCCCACATACGTATACAAGTACTAGGTGGCTGTGTGAAAATTACGTTAGCATTCCTTAAACCCCAGGAATCGCAACGTTTTCTACAAAGGGTTAAAGTTCCCCCTTTTTGGTAAAAATTACTATTATTTTTCATTACATTCGGTTCTCCTTAGAAATATTTGGCGCTTAATATGTTAGTGGACATTTTAACCATCTATAAGCCATTTTTTTAAACAGTGGGTCAAAAAGAACCGTTCTGTTCGAGTTGATGGGTTAAACTTTTTGAAAAAAGTAGACCAACCTTGTTTTCAATATGTAATCCGCAAAAAATCGTAAGAACTCCGTAACATAACGGTTGATAAGATTACTGCAAAAATTTATTGATAGCGACATAAATTATCCCAATAACTTAACTTTAAAATTTTTTTATTTCTTTAAATTTAAATAGTACATACGGATCTGTCCTGCAGAAAAAAAATTATCAATTGATAAAAAATAACGCGTTGTAGTTAGTTTTTTTGCGGGATTTCTTTAAAATATATAACTTGTAGTTAGCTACAAAAAGCTAGCTTGAAACTAGTTGACTAGTAATGCAGGAGTAATGAAGAAGATTGTTTTCTTTAAACGCGTTTGGACAAACAAGTTGAGGACAAGTAAAAGGAAGATCGAAATTTCACATTGTCATTTTGAAGTTATGTCTGACGAAGTTCGAATACAGCAGAAGATGAAAACAAATATGAAATGTAATAAAGTAAATAAAAAAAATAAAATAAATAAAAATAAAATAAAAAAATATTTTGTTTTTCCTATTGATATTTTATGTCCCAAAGTAGTTAGTTACAAGTTAGTTACATCTAATGCAGAGGTAAACCACCCTTGACTATTTCCGGGCCATCGCCATGGAAATATAGTTAGCTTTCGTCAAAGAAAATATACAGATAATAAGTTACTTTTAGCTCCTTCCTAATCAACTTAAAGTTAGCTTAAGACTTTCTTCTGTTCGTCCATCGTAATTTAAATTTAAAACTAGTTCAATTAACAAATTAAATAGAATTATAATCTGAATTGGCATGGCGTATGCCTAACGCTGACGAGATGACATGATAAGATTAGTAGCCTCATGGCTCTTTGGAATCTACCTCATGGGCAGTAGCGCCGGCGTCGCCGCCGCCGCCGATTCTTTTTGAAGTTGACCATGCCGCCGCCGCAAGGCCTCTCGGCGTAAACCTCTAATGCAGATATTCTGATGGTTAATGAATGCAGAACGACCAAACTTTGCGCAAATTGTTACAACGTAAACTTGACGTCCAAATCGCCACACAGGTACCAGTTTTGTCCCAACTGCCGTACTTGCTGGAATCGCGACGTCAATGCTGGGAAAAACATTCTCTACCTGAGAGAATGTATCATTAACCAAGAACAAAAACACGAGAATTTTCACAAATGAGATGTCATTATTTCATTTATGGCGAAAAATATGTACATCTGACTGGCAACAGTTTAAGTGCGATTAGGCATGCTTTTTCCTTTAAAAATACTTCAAGCCTGTTATATAGATTGGAAATGTCGCGTACGCTATAAACATGTGGCTGGCGACATTTTGTCAACTGCAAACGCTTCCGTCCAAAATCCGGCTGTATACACACATATGTACATTTGTGCATACCCAGCGAGCAAGAAAACGCACATTTTACGAACATTATGTTTTACGAGGGATTATCGATCGGCGAATAGTTAGAGAAAGGCTCGTAAAAAAAGAAAGAGGCTTGTAGTAATTTGACAGCACAAGCAAAAATTGTCATTCTGTTGGAAATTTCCCTTGAACCACAATATTTTATAATATATAATATTCGCATACGAATGCCTTTTCGATCCGTTTACGACTGTTCGCAGGCGCTCGACGATTTCAAGCGAAAAAGTACGTTTACGATGATTTTGCTGGCTGGGTAGTACAGTGACAGCGATAAACTTGAGACTAAATTAGAAATTTGGGGAATAAAATTAGTATACCCTTTTTGAATTTAATAAGTAATGCTTTTATTTAATGAAATTTTTATCCAGATGTTTTGTGGAATTTTGTGGAAATTTGGAACACGACAATTTTCACAAATGAGATGTCATCTGACTGGCAACGGTTTAAGTGCGCTTATCCAGATGTTTTGTAATAGTAATGCGACGATAGTTCAGCTAACCATTCCTCGCGAATAACAGTTACGTTGCTCATAAAAAGTTTTGTCGTATGAACCAATTCTGTGAAAATAATATATTGTGGTTGTGGCAATGTATACAACGTTGAAAGTGGATGTATGTATAAGTCAAGACCTCCTTGTATTCTTTTATAGACACCTGTATAATGAAGATATGCTGCATTGAGGAAAAATGCCGATGTAATGCATTTACAAATCGTTTCTACATTTCCTTCACATGATTTCAAGGAAATGTTTGTATGTTTCTTTGCAAGTTTTACCAATTGTTCGCGCAATTCATATGCACAGTTGAGATTGCGATAGTTTAAATAGTATGTACGACAAAATTGTTTGCTCTGATCATTTTCAACAAATGCCGTGAAAACATTTAGTAAAGTAAGTAAATCGCCTTCGGCAACTTCGAAGTGACGTTTGGCTACTCGTGCCTTTATCTGGCCTTGTCCGGTGGCTGGTTGGGCGAAAACCGATTCCACTTGAAGCATAGAAATTATAGTAAGAATCTCTTCGGAGCAGCCCATGGAAACTGACATGTAAAGCATTCTACTGAGCATTGGTGGAAGTGGCATTTCGGCCATGAAATAGCCAAGCGGTTTCGTAAGAGTTCCATCATTATCGATAGCCCCTAAAAAGAAGAATTGAGAGCAATTAATAAACTTATATTACGTTCAAATTTACGAGTTAAACATGTTAAATGGGCTGGAACCAGTTAAATGAACAAAACGTCTTTATAAACAAGTTAAATCGCATGCAGTTTGATCAGTTAAATTGTTTAACTGTTTGAAAACCACTTCAGCGCAGAGTTGTATCAGAAAGCTTTCTGCTTCAGCCAATCAGAAAGAGCCAAAAGCTTTCATTTGATACGCCAACACTCATAAAATGAATATTCTCAAAAATATTAACAATTAAAAACTAATAAAAAATATAAAAATTGTATGCATGTTTGCCCGCCAAAACAGAGGCCAAGGCGGTAATTAGTTATTGCCCATCGGGTCTCATCGTGCGCAGAGATAAATAGTTCATATGAACTAACCATTTTGAAGTCTCTAAGTACTCCGTATGCGTTAATATCATGAAGCAGTCATTCGCACAAAACAAATTGAAATACAAAAACTTGATTTTGATCATTTTTTTAACTTTCCTTTGAAATCAAAAAACCGTCAAAGTTAACTCCAAATGTTCAAGGCGGATGATTGTGTTTTAAAAAACGATCTTTTCCATTTAACAAGTTAAATGGGGCCAATTTGAACGTAAAACCGTCAAAGTTAACTCCAAATGTTCAAGGTGGACGATTGTGTTTTAAAAAACCCTCTTTTCCATTTAACAAGTTAAATGGGGCCAATTTGAACGTAATAACGAAAGCTTTTTTTAAGTTTGCAATACAAGCTTACTTTAAGTTTACAAAACGTTGATTATTTTTATAAAAGTTAGCGTATTATAATCGAAATGGACCCTAGGTTATAAGCTTATAGAAATAAACTTATAATAAATGTTCAAAAAAGAAAGCTTTTTATCTATCTATACTAGGGCTGTGCGATTAATTGATTATTCAAAATTTTAATTAATCATAAAGTAAATAACTCAATTATTCGATTAATTGGAAATTATGATTACTCAAAAGTTCAGTTACTCGAGTATTCAAGATTTTTGATTAACCAAAAACAAAAATATTTGAGTAATTGGCTTTATGATTAATCAACATTATGAGTAAAGTGAGTAATCAACATTTCAAAGTAGTGTTTACATATAAAGCAGTTAAAGTTCCTTGAAAGTTTGAAAACAACGTTTCTGTTTCCAAAAATTTAAATGAATTTTTTTTTTCTTATACAGAATGTAAAAAGAAAATAAGCATTTTCCAAAGCAAGCTCTTTTAACGAGCAAAATTAATTTTTTTTTGAGTAATCATCTTTTAAGTAACTCGATTAATCATCGTTTTGAGTAATCAAAATCATGATTACTCGAGTAATTGATTAACCGAATAACTGATTAACCAACTTGCTCGAGTAATCGAATAATCGCACAGCCCTAATCTATACTAAGGGCCGGTTACTCAATGTCCGGTTAACACTAGTCTGCGGTTAAACATCGTTATCGACGTCTTCGACTCCATAGCAGGGAGTCGGTAACGTCGATAACTATGTTTAACCGGAGATTAATGCTAACCAGACATTGAGTACCCAGCCCTAATTATAGAAAGAGAAGTCCCTTTTTTGTAACAGGTAATTTTGCGAACGGCTGGTCCGATTTTTATGAAATTTTGTACATAAATAACTTTCAGCGACCACCACGTTTTATTCCAACAAAAATTTAATTTTTTCCGGTAGGTGGACCAAGGACCGATTAATTTGAAAAAATCTTATTATGGTCCGATTTGCAAAAAATTTGGTACCTAAGTAGCTTTTTACCTAGATTAGCATATAGGATCATTTTTTCCGGGAAGTGCATCAGGGATCGATCTATTCGAAAAAATCGTATTTATGGTCCGATTTGCTTAAGATTCGGTACGTAGGTAGCCTTATGCCTGGATTAGAATATTTTTCCCGAGAAGTGGACCAGGAACCGATTTATTCGAAAAAATCTTATTATGGTCGGATTTGCTTAAAATTTGGTACCTAAGTAGCTTTTTGCCTAGATTAGCATATGTGATTCTTTTCTTCCGGGCAGTGGACCAGGAACCGATGCAATTGAAGATGGTTAGTACGTAGGTATATATAAAAAGTTTTCATAAATACATTTTGCAAATTCATCAATATTTAATGATTCGTTAATTTTTATTTAAGAAATACCAAAATTTTGGAGAAAGAAACAAATAAAACAACCTAACCTCGCTTGTTTATTTCGAGACCAAATAATTTGAAAAAAAAATCAAATCAGCTGCTCTAATGATACTACCTGTTCAATGTGCCTTGCCGCTAACTCAGTCTTTCTCGACTGAGAAATCGGCCGGGAAAAATACTTTTTTACGATTGAATTGCCATTTGTATCTCACCATTTACATATCGAACCGTGTTTATTCGTTCTTCTTATTTAATTATTCATTAAAACGTGTTGAATTAACTCTTCTCTAGTTATAGAAAAGTGTAAATTAGTGGTGCTTGTGATGTAAAGAAATGCTCAGCTGACGGACCCGCTTTCACAATCTTTTTTCTCAAAACCAGTTACAAATACGAGGTCGCATTTCTGCGTGATCTTGTATTTTTGGTTCCTGAAATATAAGCCGTCATCGATTCGCCACTTCGCTGCTTGCTATGTTTGAGTTCCTGCCGCTTAACGAACAATTTTGCATGTGAAAGCAACAACACGCATAGACGATAGCGAGTTTGGTTGTACCTCATTGAATTCGTTCGTTTCGCCACTTGCTAAGGTCGGTGTTATGCAGAAATTTTGTTTGGCAAACTGCGTGCAATTGTTGTTGCAGCAAACTCGGAGAGAGCGAGTTTGGCGACTCTCACAGCAAACTAATTTTGTTTGGTCAAACTGCAGCAAAATCGGTGTTGTCATATACAAAAATTTTAAATTTTGCGCGTTATGTACATCTGAAATTCTCATTTCGTGTTGGCAATAGCCATGAAAACCATAATGAACATGCAACCCTGTGCCAAACTCCACATAACCACCTCCGAGCAAACTAAGCAGCCGCCATTTAATTTGGCAAACAAAAGTTTGTCTGCATAACACCGACCTAACTGTTGGCGAATCGATGACGGCTATACTAGTACGACATTCAATTAGTAAACACTGCACACTGCGTTATTCACAAAGTACTGCATTATCCACATGTATGCAAAGGATGTTTGTAGTTTTGCATTAAATGCAGTGAGTGTGAGTGAGAGTGAGTAGGAAACGGAAATTAACTTAAAAGTAATTCCGGCAGTGTTCGCGTCAGAGAGATGAGACAATTGAATTGTCAACGAAAGTTGAACGATCGAAAGAAAGTGTGTGCGTGTGTATGTATGCATATGCATATGAAGTCGATTGCAGTAACGGTAGTTGGTTGTCAATTGGCGTCTGTTGCAGAATGAAAATTTCTGGGCAAAAAAAGTGAGATTTTGTGCAAAGATGTTTAATAATAAAATGCAAAATATATTTTGCATTGCAAATATAGTAAGGTGCTTCTTGCAATGGAGTAAAATTGTGAAGAAATATTAGTAAATTGTTTAATTGAAAGCGAGGAGCTGATTTGTGTCGCGGTCAAATTAAGTGCCTAATTCATGCGCATTTGGGCGTGTACAAATTAATATTAAATAAAAAACTGAGTGTAAACAATTAACTTGCTGCTGGTGGTTGGGCTGTAATGGGAAGATGGGAGTGTTTTCGTGATGGTCGCGATTTTATAAATGAACTGCCTTTCGTGTTTCGCCGCTATATCTTTTGATGCACCAGTTAACAGTTGAATGCACCGAAGGACTTCCGCTGAAATACTGATCATGCTGTCGTACTGACCATGATATCGTCGTATCGGTAGCGTATTCGTGAGTGTGTTTCCGTCCGGTTGAGATTCTTGGCCCAGTATTTTCGAAAATGCACATATGTGCGCACTTGTATTAATATATACATACATATGTATGTATGTACATACGTACCCGCATAAAGCCGGTATCATACGATTTGTACATTAGTACAGATTTGTACATTGTGGTAGTTACAGAGTGATGTTGCTTAGAAATTTTGATCGAGCATGAGTTCAGTTCAATAAAAAAATTCCCAACATCTCCACTCTGCATGTAGTTAAATTGGAGCGTTTCCGAACAAGCCCAGGTATTACGAATGAAGTGTTTTGAAAATGATTGGTAAGTGATTTTACATACATATGTACATATACATACATATGTATATACTAGGGCTGATGATTTGACCCGAGTGATGACTTACCCGGGTATCATGAGCCCTAATATATACATACATACATATCGCACACCGTCACAACTCAAAATAATACGTTTGTCAGAAAATGCGAAACATCATTTCTTAGCACATGATAATCATATGGGCAGGGCGAATTTACCTTGCGTTTTGCTAACAAATTATAACAAAAATTTGTTCCAGCTTTTGCTGAAAGATAAATAAAAGCTCTGTGTACATTTTTAGCGCATAATCTCAAAAGTGCCAAATTTTGAGTTGTGACTCTTTTGAAGACCTTGTTTTAAAGTTTTAAATTTTTTTTGTTCTTTAATTTTAGTAAATTTTTTGGGTATGGTTTAGTTATTTGTACAATGATTTTGGGCTGCTGCGCCCAAACGCGTGACTCGAATAAAAAAAAACTTACAATTTCATAAAAAAAATACTATATTTGTGCACTAATTTATACTACTACTATTATATTTTAAGACGTCCACTAAAATATTTTGGAAAAAATATTAAGATTTAAGGGAGCTGGACCGATTTGAAAATACCTCCAAAAATAGAGTTTTTTATGAATAAAAAATTTCTTAAATAACTTTTTGAAAAAAGTCCCTCAGATGAAAAAACAGATTAGGCTTAAAAAATCTGCATACAAATATTTATTATTTCGTATCGTAAATAGTGATCGGAATCGTAATAATGAGATTTCTGATGCTGTTTTTCAATTGTTTCAAAGATTGATTTACGGAAAACTTAAATAACTGGGCCAAAACTATTCTGATTTAGACTTATGGGATCTCGGTAGAAAGGTATTTTCCAACTATTTTCATTTATGTGCAAAAAAGTCATTCGTGTCCCATTTTTTTTCAAATACCAACACATCTTAATTCAACTATGAATGATGTTCGTTCATCCTACCTTTCTCTTTCATCCTATGAATGGCATATTACAAAGAAATAAAAAGGGTGAGAAAATACCTTTCCAATGATACCTAACAAGTCTAAATCGGAAGAGTTTAGGTTCAGTTATTCAAGTTTTTCTTATGCCAATCTTTGAAAAAAAGTTAAAAAACAGCATCAAAAATCTGATTACAATTCCGTTCGAAATTTTTTAAATTATTTTTAAATATTTTCATGCAAATTTTTTGAGCTTAACCCGTTTTGTCATTTGAGGGGATTTTTTCTAAAAACCATTTTTAAGAAACTATTTTTATTCATAAAAAACTAAATTTTTGGAGGAAATTTCAAATCTCTTAAATCTTAATATTTTTCCGAAATATTTTGGTGGATGTCTTAAAATATAATAGATTTTATAACTCCAATGGAGAAACAATACCGATTTTTTTTATATGGGGAGTGATGCAGTCTATGGTATTTATCTACATACATACTTACCTAGAGCGTGCAGCGTTTCTAATGCAGCCAACACGTTTTTGGCGGGCGGGGCTGAAGGGAAATTGAATTTCAAAATATTACTTATTCCCAGTGCTGCCAGTGCCAGAATCATTGCGCTCAATTCACAGCGACGTATTTCAGGCGGAAATCTGTCAGGTAATTTTTCATAATCTTCCTCAGTAAATAGGCGATACACTTTTCCAGACCGTGTGCGGCCGGCACGTCCTGCTCTTTGAATAGCAGTAGCTTTGCTGATGGGCACCACGACCAATTGATCGGTCGCGCTGTCTGAATCGAACCATTTTAACTTCATAAAGCCACAGTCCACCACTTGAAAAGAAAACATTCCATTTACTATTATGAGAGTATGTTTTTAAACAGAAACAGAACCGACTTCAACGCTCATATTAAAATGTAACGTTAGTTTATAAAGTTTATTAGTTAGTAAACTAAAATAAAAAAGAATTAACGAAAACGGTTGACGGTGACCAAAGTTATCCGGTAACATACATAAAATAGCTATTCCAACGAATTGATAAACTGCTCCTTTTTTTGAAGTCGGTTAAAACTAGCTTCAAAAAGTTAAAATTACCATAAACAACACCCGGTATAGTGATGGATGTTTCAGCGATATTTGTTGCATATACCACTTTCCGCACGCCTTTCTCCGCTGCAAAGAACACCTTCAATTGTTCCCTATGCGTTAGCGAACCATACATCGGCACCGGCTGTAATGTACTGTCATCGTTAGAGCTCATGTAGTCCTTTGTTAGACTGACAGCTTGCATTACTTCTTCTTGACCCGTTAGAAATACTAAAATATCGCCTTGTGCTTCCTTCTTATGTATCTTCCACACTGTTTCGACAGCTTCATTCACATAGTCTGCACAAGGTTTGTTTAAATAGAATGTGCCGATTGGATGGGATCTACCTTCAACAGATAGAATTATGCTGGAATTTGCTTTAAAAAAATCGGCAAAGTCATCAGCATCAATTGTGGCAGATGATATGACCAACTTGAGAGCTGGCCGCTTGCTAACAATTTTCTTCAGTAAACCAAGGATTATGTCGGTTATTAAGCTGCGTTCATGCGCTTCATCAATTACAATAACGCTATAACGCATAAGTAGAGGATCTGTGAGAAGTTCGCGCAGTAGGATGCCCTCTGTCATGTACTAAAAGAAAAAGAAAAAAATGAAATGATTAGTGATTAGCTCCTTAAGGGTATTGCGTACTCACTTTTATTGCTGTAGCATCGGAACATTTTTCCAAAAATTTAACTACAAATCCCACAGTATCACCAATGATTTCACCTCTCTCCAGCGCTACGCGGTTGGCCAATGTTATGGCGGATATGCGACGTGGCTGCGTTAAACCGATTACGCCTTTTGTATGCCAACCCAATTCATATAGATACTTAAAGACGAATTAAAATTATTAAAATTAAAATTTAATTAACAGCAATAATTGATTTAAATTTAGAGATGTCAGAAACCGGGTAATCTTATTTGTATTATTCGGAAATGAACAACTCAGTAATATAGAAACAGCTTTGAGCAACTTCAAACTTGCACTTAATTATACTAAAATTAAATGTGATATTAAACTGCATTTCCGAAATTTTCTTAAATTTTTTTTTTAATTTGAAACTTTAATTTGATGCATTTTTCTAAATTCTGCATAAAGTTTATAATAGTTTTTGTGTGGTTTAAACTATATTAAAAATAAAAATTTGTTTATTAATTAAAAAACTGTACCAAGTTTAAGGTTTGCGTGGCCACGAGGGCATGTTTATTAGTTAGAAATTCAGGCGTTATTTCCCCTATACTTAATTGAAATATATAACTTATTTAGCTTTTATTTGAAAATCAAATTTGTTCTTCGTTTACTTTTCCTGTCCTGTTCTGTCTTGTCGGCGTAAACCTCTAATGCAGATATTCTGATGGTTAATGAATTCAGAACAACCAAACTTTGCCACACGGGTACCAGTTTTGTCCAAACTGCCGTACATTCTAGAATCACGACGTCAATGCTGGGAAAAACATTCTCTACCTGGGAGAATGTATCATTAACCAAGAACAAAAACACGACCATTTTCGCAAATAAGATGTCATTATTTCATTTATGGCATCTGACTGGCAACAGTTTAAGTGCCTTAACATGCGCTTAATTGAAATGAAAATGCACGCTTACACAAATATATAACTTATTTAGCTTTTATTTAAAAATCAAATTTGTTCTTCGTTTACTTTTTTTGCAATATACATATGTATGTTATGTTGAATTGTGAGTTTTGTATATAAAGTATTAAATTTTACATAAAATATTTCGGATTTAGTAACAGTTCACATTTTATACAACACGACATTTAGAAATCAGAACGATGTGTTATTACCAGCAATAGTGTTAAAAATGAAATTATGAGCCTCAATAACATGCATTTCACTGATACAAATTACAATTATTAATATGATGTAACCGACATATTGTATGGCCTTTAAGAAGTCCCACAATTTATCGCAGAATATACTTAATAACACAAGATGAAGCAAAGAATGTACGTTTACTATGCGCCACATCCAAGCCACACACAAGAACCATGCCGACTTGAATGTGATATTTTGACGAATAAATTGCGTTGGCTTTACGTCGTTACGCTCCAACATGTCTTGGTATACGGCGATGTAGCGATTCCAAGCAGTCGAGCTAACAAGCAGCTGCCCTGTGAAGCTTAAAACTTTCTTGACAATTTTCGGTGTCATAGATTTCATTTTGGGTCTCGTCACTGGTTCAGGTAGTTTTGATTCACTCATTGGTATTTGAGAGTAACCCCGACGTGGCGGATTATTTTTTAGATAAAAGAAAATACCTAAAAGTAGTGCAATACAACCCAAACCGTCGCAAAGGCCATCAATATAATAACCGGATGTTCCAACTTCCGAACGTTCTCCATGTATATGCTTCTTGGCACGAGCCACATGGCCATCCAAGTCATCAAGGAATGTGCGGAATTGGAAGAGTACCACACCCAATCGGCGATAGCCCAAACTGTCGGATGAAACCATCTTTCCTGCAATGCATGCCACTCCCACATGGAAGAAAGATATCATGTTTGCTGTGATGAATGTGGTGCGCGAAATGCCAACGACATTGTCGAATATGGTAGCTAGCGGTGCAAAAAGATAATGATTTGTATGATCGAGGAGCACAGCTTTTACAGTCACATGGCAAAGTGGATTTACATCACAAGATACCCATTGGTGTTGCTCGTAATAACCGACTGATTTGATTACTGTCAAATCTGTTGTTGCTACACCACCCAGTACATTATTTGTTATTAGTGTTGTTATGTTCAAGTGGTAATCTCGTTCGATTGGATAATTTTTTATACGTAAATATAATTGAATGTCCATAAAAATATAAAATGCCAATAACAGGAACAGAAGGCAAAGTAGCGCTTTACTAACTTGGGAGCTTGGACCCACCATTTTGCCGTCGATTGTGTGTTTTGGTGGGTTTGTTTGTTATGTGATTAAAATAAAATTAAAATTAGTTTATTTCTCGCGTTATGTCTTCACAATTTTTTGTTTCTATTGAATTGCTCCGATTAGCATTGCAAATAAACGTTCATGTCACAACAGTTGTGTGATCGAGCAAATATGGTTGAAATGTGAATCTGCAAGTAATATCACTTTAACATATGTAGACAAAAAGAGGTGATCGGAAAAATGCAAGCAAATAAACAAGCTGTAAATGAATCTGGGGAATACTGAATTTTCAATATAACGGATTTCTGATATTTGAACACAACTGCAATTTGTACTATGTTATTATTCATATAACCGCTACAAAAACAACAGTATTAAGTCCAAAGTGGTTTATTACTCGTACATCAATGTGCAATGTAAGAGCTTGATACAAAAATATTTTAAGCCCATATTGGTTTTAAGCTTCCTAAAAGCTTATAATTAATTTAAAAACAAAGGTTTTATTTTGATAATTACTCTTTGCATTATATGCTTACTATTTTACTTCAGTAGATACAGCCATACCCACAGATGTATATAGCATCTATAGTCCCATGCTGTTTCCTAATGGCGAATTAAATATTATTTACTAATCATGAATCGGGATATAGGTACCGAAACTATCGGCTATCTGATTTAAGCAGTCAAAGGTGAAAGTCCGCCAAAAGCCGAGTTGTGTCATATAGAGATTGGCAAAGTCAAGGTAATAAATTTGAGTTTTGTATTTTCGATACAAATATAAATATGTATAAATACATGAACTAGAAAAACTGCACATAATTTATATGCACACATATACATACATACGTCTACATTAAACAATTGTATACCTGTGGAAGTTGAGTACTTTTTCCGCTACCAGTTTCGCCAACAACTATCAAAACCTGATTTTTTTCCAAACAATATAGAATATCTTTGCGATATTTATAAATTGGCAGACGTTTTCGCTGTTCGATTATTGGTAAAGAATGATTTGAATTGAATACAAAACAAGATTCCGTTTGATTAGAGGTAACATAATCGTCTTTTTTTGTCCCTATTTCATCGACATCTGTAAAAAAATTAGAAAGTACAAATTTGCTGATAAAATTCGCAAGGACAATTTCAATTTCTAAACCATAACATGAGTCTAAACATAGAATTCGGGATCTTGCTTGATAGCATCAAATCCAAAAAGACGTAATTTAAAAGTATATATAGCTCAAAGTAAGATATCTTTCTGTTAACGCGCGCCTCTAAACCAATTATCTTGGTAAATATGTGCGCTTTAGCTACTTTGCCATTGCTTCGACAGGCTAGATGCAAACGGTGAGGTAATATTTTCTAGGTGTACATTTGTACACGGTGCATTTAACACTAAACCAATTTCTAGGAACAATTAGGAACTAATCCCTAAGTATTCGCTATCGATTACAAATGTGGGTTATACCCTGTGTCACACTTATTTATATGCATACATATGAGTCGAAACAATTTGAACCAATATACATATGTTTGCAATAATTCTGTTCGAAAACCCCGTAGTACTACAGCATTACGGATCGCTTTTCAGGCATAATCATAATAGTATCTTAATCTACTTAGTTGGGGTATTTGCACATAAATTACTCAGCCCTTTTACATAGAACTATTTTTTATTTATAGCTCAATTAATTTAGGCCACCACTTTTTCTGAGCATTTCAACTTTGTGTATTTGCTTGCAATTTGTATAGATATATTTACTAACCTGGGGCGAGAAAATTCGGTTTCAATTGCAGTGAAACCATAATACTCCAATATAAATAGTAATTTTTCGTGTACGCCTAACTTTATTAAAAATGTTGACAAATACGACAAATGGACTTCACTCTTAATTAATTAACTATATTTAGTGTTACTTCAGAAACAAAACTAAATAAGAGAACCAGTGCAGTGTGATTCATATTAATAAAAAAATGGCGAATTCATAGGGTGATATGTAAAATAAATTTCTTTCCAAGGAGGGTGTCAGACTAGAGAAATATAACTTCCACGCGATTCGCACTCAATTTGAGAACGAGAAATTTTTTTCCACGTGTGAACTGTCAGAACGGTAATTTTGTCACTTTTTCCAAATGAGTTTCAGTAATAAAAGTTTCTAGGTGTGAAGGTAAGTTACTAGACAGTTGCTACAAGTTGCTTTCAGCATGAACAAACCTTTGATCCGAGAATTCGCTCATATACTGCCGTCCCTAAATTGGAGTGCTATGCGTTGCGCTTTCCCATTGTCAATGAGTGTCAACGCGCGCTATCCCCAAATTAACGCAGCGTAATTTTAGAGGTTTTCTCATTTCCTCCCGTTTTTATTCTCGTTTCCTCTTTCACTCTTTTGACATTTCTCTTTCTTTCCGTCTTCTGCAACCAACTTTAACACAAAACGACATGTGAACAATGAAAATTCGATTTGCACGGCGCTAGCGCCGCGTTATGGTGGAATTTTTGACGCTTGATGCGCCAATTTAGGGACGACAGATAGAGAAATATGTATGTATATCCATAAAAGTACGTACATAATACCCTTACCAATTTGCAAGTTTCCTGGACAGCAGAGCTGTAAAATGATTGAATCAGTAGGTTCTGAATTCACTTGGCACTCGTTTCAAAATTTTGATTGTTTGGTTGAATAAAAAAAAACCTCATTCCTGAGTGGCTTAAATTATTTTGAAACAAAAACAAACGTAATGCGTTATTGAATGGCAGAGTCCAATTCAGTATAGAATGTGAATGTAACAAAAGTATTCGCAATCATCGTGATTGTAAATTTTGGTTGAATGCAAACAGTTTTGGTCATTCAGTACAACACTGAAAAAATATGCCTTGCCACTAGAAGAAAATCTTTATAGGAGAAAATAGTCGTTTTACTTCTGCTTTTCTACTACTGCTACAATTTGGTAAAGCATTACCTATGACCAGAAGTACGTACCAGCTTTGGATAATGCATGTTTTTGAAGGAAACTTGCGGTCAATTTTATTTAACGAACTAAATTTTTATTTATACAAAGATATTTTTATTTCTCAATACCAGGCGCTCATACATACATATGAAGTAGCAAGCATGATAAAAATATAGTAAGGTAGAACCGCTGAGAGGAATTTTTCAAATTCTTGACGTTTCCAAGCAATTTAATTTTTAAATTTACTCACAAACTCACACACACAATTTCATTTTCAATCTCAAGCAACAACAATTTCGAACAATTTCATTTTTTTCTTTTCAGTTTTATATGATTTTAAAATGTTGGCAAACTTCAAAAAAAAAATCATGGCCGACAAATTGAGAGAACGGTTCTACCTTGCTATATTTTTATCATGGTAGCAAGCTTTCTATACGTATAAATTTGTTTGTAGAACTTTTAAATAAATTTTTTTTTTGTAGAAGCCTTTGAACTTAACACAGTAGATTTTTGGAAATTTAAAAATTTATACAAACAATTTTGTACGTAGAAATAGAAAACTTGTTACTTCACATGCATGAGCGCCTGGTATTGGGAAATGAAAACATCGTTTTTTACAAATAAAAACTGATCATAAAGGGTGGCCTCGCGAAAATGGGCACAATGTATTTTAAAAAAGGACATTATATGTATGTGGATAAACCATGGACTGAATGATAAAAGCTGCTATCATTCGATGGTTGTTATGCTTGATTATTTCTCTGCAGATTTTCCAATCTTTAAAAGAAAAAAAATTATAGATACTAATTGTCTTGGAACATTTTGCACTCAGTTTTTAAACAACCAAAACTATAAATTTGTACAATATGTTCATGTGAATCAAGTTGCGTTTCATGCGTGGAGGAGTCCAATCACAACCATTCATTCGTAGGACATGGCTTAGCCCGCGTGGCCGCTGTGCATTGATACGCGACACTATGTCAATATCGTTTAAAGTTCATACACCTCATTATTCCATCATCTAAACTTACACATTTTTCTTAGTGTATAAAATTTGATTGGAACTGAATTAGAGAATGCACACATAGCAAAGTGTTCATTCATCTGGAAGCTAATTCAGTATTGAATTCTGTTTACTTCAGCATTCTCAGTTTTTCATTCAGGTGTTTGCCACCTTACTGTGTGAAATCAATTTTTTTTTTAATGATTGTAGATTGAAAAAAATATAAGCCACACCAAGGCGTATTTAACAAGGTGGTGTTGGCCGTATATAAGTAAAAAATTACACTAACAAATTATACGCTGATGTCCATACTGTCATTGGTATGAGTTACAACAAACACATCATTTTGACATAATGGCCTCCACGGCGAAAAACTCAGCTGTCGCCCCAACACCACCTTGTTTAATACACCTTGAGCCACACCATGATTCAATAATAAAAGGTTTGCTCAAGAAACTGTTTTCTCGCTCCCTCTTGACAAAATCGGCTCCCTTAGCAAGGCACAGTGTGTGGGTTCGCGTGTGTGTGCAAAGCTTTTGTAAGGGAGCTAAGGGAGTGTCAAACTCGAATGTCACTAATGAGCAAACCTTTAATTATTCAATCATGAAGCCACACTACCAGACCAAAGGAAAAAGAATGAAATCCTACTTGTAAATATTTCATGATTAAGATTTTAAATGGTTTCATAGTTTCACAGCTCATAAATTTGAAAATAGATTTTGAAAATTATTTGCTACATGGACATTAGGGTGATTCAGAATTATAATTTTCTCCTCGGAACCGTGCTTAAAAATTTCGTTTAGACGCCAAAATAAGTCTTAGAAAATATGAGCCTTTAATATTAATATTAAGATCAAGGCGAATTTATATAAGGTGGTATCGATTTAACAAATACAACCTTTACTTGTATTTTGTTTTTGCTTTGAGCGGGCCATTGTCAAGTTTTAGCTATTCTTCCCCGACGGAAAAAGGTTGTCAGAAAATACAAACACTCTCACGTTTTCACTCACTCACTAGCGAAATACAAAATTTTGACAATCACCCGCTACTCACAGCTGATGAAACAACATCACCTTGTATAAATCCGCCTTGATTAAGATAGTCCGCATCGAACTTTTCGATTTCCCCCCATAGGAATAGCACAGGACAAATTGTTTTTGTAACTGTATTTTTGTAGAGAATTGAATGCTTTACAAAAAGGTCTGAAGTCATTTTTCAATCAGTCAACTTGGTCAAAAGTTATTCGAGGTCAAAGTCAAATACACCATTCTGTCAAATTTGAACTCGAATAACTTTTGACCTAGTTTACTTATCGGAAAATGACTTCAGAACTTTTTTGTAGAGCGTTAAATTCTCTACAAAACCTTTACAGTACAACGTATCTTTCACTAAATATAAAAATCAGAAGTAAAAACAATTTTTCCTTTGTTATTCTTATGGCAAATCGAAAAGTGCGATGTGGACATTCTTAACATTAATATTAAGGGCTTATAATTTGGCGTCTAAAACAAATGTTTTGAGCATAGTTCCGAGGAAAAAAGAGGAAAGATATTTTTCTGAATCGCCATAACGGACATGCATAATATAGGAAAATTTTGAATAAAATATCAATAATACTCGTAACAAATTATTTGTCGGAATTGAATTGATAAGTTAATAAATTAACCTGTAAATTGAAAATTACGACTGAAAAGCGTTTTCCTTTCCTTTCCTGCAATTCGGTTTTCGGAAATGAAAAACCGCTTTTGAAGGACACTTTACATGTAAGGTGTGATTGCTAATGTAACTGCCCTCTTACTTAGGACAATATTGTCCGGTGTAAACTCTAGGTTACATTTCTAAAATTTTCAGCCTTTTCGAAATACATTGCATTGCCACGTCTGACACGCTCTTAAGTAAAAACTTTTGCACAGTGTATTTTTTGGTGTGAAAATTTTTTAAATATTAACTTGATTGAAAATTTTAAAACTCGCGTTTTAAAACTTCACGAAATTTTCAATCAATAGTTAAAATCTAAATTATTACGTTCAAAATAGTGGTGGCCATTTTTATTAATTTATTTAATTCAGTAACTTATGAACACTTAAGAGGAATACAATGATGCTATTATAAATATGATTTACGCCTTAAAATTAGTTCTATCAACAGTGATCTCTCGAAAAATGAAACTGCGCTCGATTTTTAAAGTAAGTAGCATTTTCTTCTCCACAAATAGCAGCAGCACGAACGATGGTATGTGCGACAGTAACATCTGTAGTATTTGTAATGACTGCAGCATGAATGTAGACTTGAATGACAGTAGCATGAGTCATGCAAACAATACAAATGACAAGCTGAATCACACATGGTTTAGTTTTGCTGTAATGTTAATAATTACATTTAGTATATTAAAAGTTGAAAAAGTAAAAAGTTATTATTTTGATTAACAAAAAATCATTTAAGATTCTTTTGTTCAATATAATATAATTTGCAAGCACTTACTTCCGCTAAACAATTTACTTAAAATAAATACGTTCCGACAAAGATTTCAAATGCGACTAAAGTCATTGGTTGTAGATTTCAAAATATTTGTAGGCCGATATAGATGAACAATTTATATATGGTTACCATGTGAACCATGTTAGATCGATATAATTTGATTCGAATAGTATTAAATGGTAAATATACATTTGAATAAACCTTGCATCTTTGCCCATGTACATACATACATACATAGTGGGTATATGCGTGTTTATGTAGGTAGGGTCATGCAAGGCGAGTGTTACAGTAAACTCGCTTCCAAGTGAAAGCGCAGGTACTGGGTATAAAAAAAATTATTTAAGGCGTCTATGCCTCCAATTCTTATTTTGCATGTTTATAAATATTTCCTTTCATATTCGTACAAATTACATATATGAATTTAAAATTTTTCTTATATTTACATACATATGTATGTAAATATATGTAAGTAGGATTTGCAGCGTTAAATTTTTTCATCGATTTCTCGTTACATTAAATATATATATGTATGTAAATATAAATATACTTAATTTAATTGAGCTTATATTTAATATTATTATAATTAAAAGTTACTATATATGTACATATGTATGTACATATCGTCTCCTGGGTAAAAGATTGTCGTACATATGTTACGCACGAACGTATGACGCTTACGACAATCAAAATTAAATTTTTTGCACCTTATGTTTGTTTATTTATTTTTAATATGTAGTTTTCATTTAAAATAAAATTCAAAATATAACAGAAACCACATAAATAAAAGTTCAAAAGCTTGCACAAATTTCCAAAAAATTAATCAAACTTCAAAAAATTGTCATGGCCTACAAAATTGCATACCCGAAAATTTTCTAAATATCACTAGCTTTGAGCGCAAGATTGCTAAATCCATTTTTTTCAATTTTACAAGAGAGGGAAAACCCTCTCATAGCCATTTTCTTCAGGTTTTTGCAAAGCTTTGAATACAACATTTTGCGTGTTTAAAGCAAAGCAAAACTCCATACGAATAAGAAGGAGTCGATCTTTATTAAAAGGTTTCGTATTATTTTGGTTTCTTCAGATTTTCAGCGCCTCTTTTGATATTTTATGAAACTTTTTTGAAGCTTGAATTATTTTTTTTTTGAAATTTTTGCAAGCTATGAAACTTGTATTTATGTGGTTTCTGTTATCGATTGAATTATAATTTAAATGAAAATTAAGTAAAAATAAATAAATAAACATAAGTTGCAATGCAATATCATTTTCTAAATATTCTGTAAGCCAAACTTAAAACTTAATAAAAATCAGGGCTAAGTTCTCATTTTCTTTTAAAAATTGCTCAAAGATAATTTATGCTGTACACAAAAAAGTTACGAATAGATAAATATATACATATGTATTTGTATGTACATGTACACCTTTAACCTGACCTAGTGTCAATAAATAAGCATTGTGGTTAATTTTTGTTGTTGCCATTGTTACTGTTATTATTAAGGTACTACAGTAACTTCATTATTTGTGCAATTTATGTACAACGAAAATCTTGGGTGATACTGATTATGTGCACATTAAGCTGCCTCACCAAAAAAATTGCGGATGCAGAAAAAAATTCTGACGCTGAATAAATAACCATATTTTATTCCTTGGGAAGACAAAGCGTGGCATCACCGCCATCCAAAAAATGCGATGGATGGGCAAGGCAAGGGAAGTGTAGTTCACACCGGCGGCCGAGCGTCAAGCCACAATCCGCATCAAAGCTTGGTTATTCAACATTTAGCTCATCTGCGACCACGCCACGATGGAAGAGAAGGACGAGAAACTCAAGGATCTCTTCTATGAGCGCTTGGAGCGCAAATAACGCTGATCGACTTCGCCGGGGCCCGAAACACAGTAGTATGCAGTACAAGGTTCCAGCATAAAGAGAGAGATGGAAGGCAGGCACGCTTCCAGTGTTTTAGACGTACATACATACATACGTACACTCCGAGGGCCAAACATCGACTCGGACCACTATCTTGTTGCAGCCAAGATATGCACCCGCCTCTGTGCAACAAAAAATGTACGTTCAAAAATCCAAGGAAATCTCAACTTCGAAGAGCTGCATATACAACAGACGGCCAATTTGTTCGCCACTCGACTCTCACTCCTTCTCTCTTCAACAAACCGACATATGCGAGCAGTGGAACCACATTTCCCGCTCATTAAGTACCGCCGCCAAAGAAGTAGTCGGATTTCAGCGAGCCCGAAAGAACAACTGGTACGATGAGGATTGTCAGGAGGCTGCTGAGAAAAAAGATGCCGTCTACAGGGCCACGCTGCGATTGGGCGCAACGTGCGCTATGTGGGACCGCTATAGGGATCTGAAGAGGGAAGCGAGACGTATTTGCCGCAATAATAAGAGAGAGGCCGAAATACGTGAGTGCGAAGAGCTTGAAATGCTGGCCGACAGGAAGAACGCCCGAAAATTCTACCAGAGGGTCATGCGAACTACGGAAGGGTTCAAGACCGGGGCGAACTCTTGTAAGAACAACAATGGCGACATAGTGACCGATTCCAGAATGTACTTAAAATTTGGAGGGAAAACTTGTACAGCCTACTGAATGGTAGCAGCGCTGAAAGTAGTGACGAAGACGAACCCGAGTCCCCAGTCGATGATGATGGAGTAGATGTCCCACCGCCTGATTATGACGAGGTACGAATAGCGATTACGCGGCTGAAAAACAACAAAGCTGCTGGAGCTGACGGCGAGGAGCTGATGAGGTGCATGCATCAGCTCGTATGTAGAATATGGTCAAATGAACGCATGCCCGACGACTGGAATTTAAGTGTGCTCTGCCCAATCCACAATAAAGGTGACCCCGCCATTCGTGCCAAGTACCGTGGGATCAGCCTTCTAAGCATAGGTTACAAGATCTTATCGAGCGTATTGTGTGAAAGACTGAAGCCCACCGTCAATGAACAGATTGGGCCTTATCAGTGTCGCTTTAGACCTGGAAAATCCACCGTAGACCAGGTATTCACAATACGTCAAATCGTGAAGAAGACTCGTGAGAATAGGATCGATACACACTTTCTATTTGTCGATTTTAAAGTCGCTTTTGACAGCACTAAAAGGAGTTGCCTATATTCCGCTATGTCTGAATTTGGCATCCAAGTTGGATAGGGAAGCAAAGCGAATGGGTCTGGTGGTAACGAGGACAAGACGAAGTATCTCCTGTCATCAAACAAACAGTCAGCTTATTCGCACCTTGGCACCCACGTCACTGTTGACAGTTACAATTTCGAGAAAGTAGAAGATTTCGTTTACTTGGGAACCAGTATTAACACCGATAATAATGTCAGCATTGAAATCCAACGCAGAATCACTCTTGCCAACAAGTGCTACTTTGGACTGAGTAGGCAATTCAGGAGTAAAGTGCTCTCTCGACGTACGAGAACCACGCTCTATAAGTCACTCATCATGCCCGTTCTGGTATATGGCGCAGAAGCATGGACAATGACAACATCCGATGTGGCGGCTCTTGGAGTGTTTGAGAGAAAGATTTTGCGGAAGATTTACAGGCCTTTACGCGTTGGCGACGGCGAGTACGCAGACGATGGAACGATGAGCTGTATGAGCTTTACAACGATATGGACATGTCGTTCGAATGCACACCGACGCTTCAGCTCTGAAAGTATTCAACTCGGAACCCGCTGGTGGTAGCAGAGGAAGAGGGAGGCCCCCACTGCGATGGAAAGATCAGGTGGAGAAGGACTTGGCTCCACTAGGCGTTTCCAATTGGGGTCAGTAGGAACAGAGGAGAAACGACTGGCGTGCTTTGCTGAACTCGGCCAAAATCGCTTAGGCGGTTACAGCGCCAAAAAAGAAGAAGAAGTATATAAACTTAACGAAACAAAATGATGATAAAAGATTAGGCTTTGTATCCGGATTTGCGATCTTTTTGCTGCTCCAAGATGAACTTGTGAACAGGGGATGGCCGCTGTGGTATAGTGGTAAGCAGTGCGCGCTTCTACTCCGTCGGGCCTGGGTTCAAGCTCTAGTCAAAGCAGCATCGCAAAAAATATAGAAAAGAGGTTTTTTCTTAACAGCGGTCGCCCCTCGGCAGGTAATGGCAAAAATCCGAGTGTATTTCTGCCATGAAAACCTACACAAAAATACTATCGCCGTCAATTTAACAGCCTCTTCCATTTTTCCTTTGCTGTGCGTTATTAGAGTTCAATTTGAGAAATGTTAAAAACCAACGGTTGCATGCGTTTGAAATACACAGGTTTACAAAAAAAAAGTTTATGCATGTTAAACCAAACCTATATACCCCTATGTTATTCGACATGCTGAATGTGAATCCGAGGTCCGCTGGCCTCTAGATTCATGGAACTCGAATCCGAGGTCCGCAAACCTCCATAATGTAAGCTGAGGGTCAAATAGGACAAAATTAAAAATAAAAAAATGTTTTTGTCCGAATATGGGGTCCCTTAATTCCTCAAGGTCATGCCAAGGTCTTCCCAAGGTCAAATTCAGAAGATTTTTATTGAACTTTCAGGTTTATTCAATAAATTTTTTTCCTACTTGATCTTCAAATGACCACGAACCTGACTTGATGGAGGCTAACGGACCTCGGATTCGCATTCAGCATGTCGAATAACATAGGGGTATATAGGTTTGGTTTAACATGCACTTTTTTTTTTGTAAACTTGTGTTATTGTTTAATAATGGAAAAAATATAGAACATTAAGCAAAATTTGCTTGGCAGGAAGCTAAATAAAAATATGCTTATTCTATTTGATGATACTATAACTTGTTCGAGAACTTCAGGGCGAAAATACAACGCGAGCATAATAGATTCAGTAAACTTATTTTCTCTTTATTTTCTTATTTTCTCAGTTTCACACAATCGATTTAGCGTATTTATTAATTTATATTTAGAAACAAAAAGATTTGATTTGTAAGTTTAAGCAAAAGTTACATGCATAAAAAGGGGGAAAACAACATCTATCAACCTCAAAATAGTACATTACATAGTATCGTCAATTTACAATTTTAAATTGATTTTTGTTTTTATATGTTTGTATTTCCTTACTAAGTTAGGAAATAAATTTTATATCTCACTCAAAATAATAAAAAGGATACTCGTGTTCTGCGCGCATCACCTTTGGCTCTTCGAGCCATCCCGTAATGTCACATGCTCCCTTCCGAGCTGCTTGTTGTGCCTTTGGAATCTCCCATACCACCAGAGTTGTTATCGTCTCCACCTAAAGCACCCGAAGACGACAAGCCACCAGAGAGACCGCTTAGGTCCAATTTGTACTATAAAAGAAAGTTAATGTGCCTTGTTTTAATTACAGTTAAAAGCGATTTCGTATTCAACTACATAGTATGTATGTATGGCTGTGATTTGAAAAAAGTTCTTGAGAGCCAAAAAGAAAAAAATATTGTACTCTCTTAAAAATGTCCAGTTCCAAAAAACAAATATACGAAGAAATTAATCCTTCTTTATTGAACCAGTTTCGTCATTTGTGGTAAAACTTAAAATACGGTAAAGAAAATTACATATTAAAACAATAGGGGAAAGAAAATATTTTCGAAATATAACTATGCTAGTAAATTTTATATAAATATACTACTTTAAGATAAGTATTTGTATAAATAATAAATGTAAAGTAATTGTTAATTTCTTAGTTCAAAACGAACATTTACCTTAGTCGCACATTCAAAACATTTTGTTACAACCTTGTTAATTACACTCATAAGATTTTTAGTTTCTCGTATAACGTGATCCACTTTTACAAAGGTTGCATCCTTTCCAACAGTGTGATCCTTAACAGTGAATTGAAGAGTTTGAACAAAAGTTGGAACTCTATCTAGAATATTCAATAGATCCTTTTTATTTTGGCTTGCCGGAACCTGTGGGAATAAGAGAAAAGGAGTTTTTAAAGTTCTTATATTGCATAAAACGTATTAGTAGTAAATAATTCGCTCATTTGATAACGCAATAATTTGTAATAATTACCAAAATTTATCGGGCTATGGCATTTTCTTTTTCAAAAAACTAAAAAAAAACTTGCAAAGTAGTTTAAATTGAAAGCTAAGCCCCGCCTATGTCGGGTTTCCCATAAATAGTTTTCTTCAAGCTCAACTAACGGTAGGCCCAGGAAACGAGCTGTTTTGACGGGGTTGGACCAGAGAGGTTGAGCTGTCATGTGAAGTGAAGCCGGCTGAAGGTGGCTGGTGTCATAGGTGGAGTCTCCACATGCCGGACACTCATTGCTGTTTAGGTGGCTACAATATCCAGGCCGTAACTAGGCGAAGCTCTGTGTATGCAATGGGTGGAGATTGGACTCTAATTACGGTATCGTGGTAGATGGTGATCGACTGTATGAATGTCGTTGATCACTCGTCTGTACGTCGTCGGGTTCAAAGGTTGTTCGAAGTAGGTCTGCACCACGTCCATATATTCGAAAAGATGCCTTCTGACGCGTCTGGGTGGAGTCTCTTCGTCAAGAAAACGCCCGTTTGGGTGCTCACGTCTATGCCACCCCACCAAAAACTTTGCATTTTTTTGTGCCCCCATTCAGCAAGCATTTGCGCCTCGCTATGGAGATAGTGCTTAGGCGACATCAAAAGGCATCCACTGCGTCCAACTAGTCCCTGGTGACCAAATAGGTGCAGCGTAATTCAGAGACCGCTGATAAGTTGCTTTGTATGTTGCCTTGTTGAGTGCAGGAGAGCGGGGAATCAAATGTGCCCTCTAAAATTTTTGTATTGTTAATTGGTGTGCCATCGACATGCATGCCTAGTTGAATCTCGACCTCCTTCGTACAAGTGGCGAAGGGGGTCGCCGTTGATTTTGTCGGGGAAAGTGTTGGGCTCCGTGCAGTGAGGAAGCGATAAAGTCCGGAGAGCTAGGTGTGCACTTTGCGGAAGCCATGCTGTTGCTTCGCTGAGGTCAGGTGGGTACGTAAAGTAGGGGGCAAGCAAGGATTCTAGTGTATTCGCGACGGGGCAGACTCCCCTGCGGGCTTCTGATCAGTCGGCGCTTGCCGAACAAAATAACTCACGCATTTCTTCGGGTCCGTCAGGGCATGGCCGTCGAATGAGATTTCCAATTTGGTCGTCACGTCTCTTTGGATCGGTTGAGCTGAGCTTACTCACACCAGAGGCGAAATTGCAGGTCTTCAAATGCTCCTCCCAATTTTTCACCTTATGTCTCCGAATTAAGAGTCTCCAAATTAAGAAAACCCCGAATCATTCTGGTACGTAGGTTCAGTTGCCGTGGTAATGACGATTACGTCGAATGTAAATTGAACGTAACGCCATTTGTGACAGTTATATGATGCGATATATGATGCGATCTGACGTATGCGATTAACGTCAGATAGCATCATATATTGAAAACTCGTTAACATTTTTTTAAATTTAATTTAAGTTTTTTATATAAAAATATAGTCCATTCTTTAACAAAGACCGTATATTTTGTGCAATATTTAATTCAACAGATTTTCGTAAAATATTCGAGGGTTTTAATCAAATTTCTTAGAAAGGTTTTTAGTATGCAGTTTTTTAGTCTTTAAGCTCTTTAGCAATTTAATTAAAAAGCTCGACATTTTTACGAAAGTTACTTGAATTTTTCTAAATTACGCACGAAGTTTGAAACTTGGACTTACGCTACTTTTGTTAAAGAATGAACTAAATTTTTATAAACAAATAACTACAATTAAATAGCAAAAACAAAATAAATTGTGAAAACTTGTACATATTAATTGTGTTTTTTTACAAATTATCCAGTAACTTGCCAGCAACTCTCCAGTAACTTAATTTCTAAGAATTCGCTCTCATAGAAAAAATTTACAAAAAAGTACGTGAACGCTTTTCCAGTAATAATTTGCAAGTTTCATGAACAGCTGATTAATTGGTTGTTTTTTCGCAGCATATTCCTAATAAAACAATATATTTTATATTTAAATATGTTTATTTTGTGAATTTCCACAATAAAAAGCCACAAACAGTTTCCTTATTAGTTTAAATTTCATCCAGCAACAAGTGATCAGCTGTTTTTCGTACTGGCAAATTCTTACAAGTAAAAGTTTATCCAGGAAAATCCAGTAAAAACTTGCAACTTCAGCTGTCATTTTTCGCTCTCTCAATTTCCCCTACTTTGCAAGTTTTTGCGTACGAAAACGCCAAAACATGAAAATTCGTAAAAACTTTTACTGGATTTTACTGGAAATGAGTAAAAAAACGCAACTAGTGTCATATTGCGGCTATAATTTTCTCGACCACTGTATGTCTTTCTGAGGGATATAAGACTCGACCAATGTAAATATTTGCAAAAGTTAGTACAATACATTCATACAGCTTACCTGATATGAAAATTGTCGCAAAACTTTATACAAACGATTTGCTTCTTCAGCAAAATATTCGGCTTGTGTAAAAAGATCCTGGGTAGTTCTTAAAGTGCCATTGCCTTTCGTAAACTGATACATTGCGAATGCCATTGCTGACATATTTTTAGCACGTTTTATTATGTCATTATTATCGTTTACTTCATCATTCCATTTCTCATTGAATGGGGCAATTTCCGAAGGTATTTCTTTTGTCTCCGTAGTTGAAGGCGCCACCTTACCTGGCTCCTCCTGACCAACGGACAATGGTCGGGCTGCAGTGGGTTTATATTTCTGTGGTTAAATTGGAATGAAAAGAGCAGAGGTAGAAAAAATAAATAAGAATTTCTATGGGTATTCATGAATATTAGTAATAACTCGAATACGAAACCGAATGAGCTTAAATTGGGCAAAAGCTTTCATAGTTTAGTTGAAAAGCCAGTTGACCAACTTAAAAGTCCTATGCACGCATTTATTGCTAGAAGTTGGGTGAAATAAGCCGTGTGGTGGCAAGTTGTAAAATGAAAATAAGATTGGCCTAGATCCTGGGTGTCGGCTCATTTTAGCTGGTATACATCCAGTTAAAATCAAAAATTCGTATTATCAACACCTTTCTGGTTTATATTCTCGCAAAATAAAACTATAGAAATACCCAAAAGATTTCACGATACAATCAAAATTGTCTGCGAATTCGTCAAAATTTGGACAATACTGTCAGCTTCAGCTTGAGATACTTGAAGAAAAACAAAAAATTTTCTCGCAAAGAAAGGTGGCACGGCTAAAATTGAAGAAGTACATTTGCCGACAAAAAGCCTGCAACCACATTGCAACAAAACTGGTATCGCACAGAGAAGAGAGTACGTTAATATGTATCGGTTCAACCGAGATCGCTGCGAATTCGCCCATACGCAGATATAGGCGAGTACCTAATCGCCTACTAATCGCAGCTTTAAGGCAACGAAAAGCAGACATTCTAATGGTTAACGAATTCAGAACAACAAAACTTTGTGCAAAGTTTTTTAGCATCAACCTGACATCGAAATCGCCTTACAGATACCAATTTTGCCCAAATTGCCGTACCTGTTGGAATCGAGATGTCAATGCTGGTAAAAACATATACCTGGGAGAATGTAAATTCAATCAACACGAAAAACACACGAATTTTTGCAAACAAGATGTCACTATTTCTCAGATCACGCAAGAACAAGAGAACGAGAAAAGTCGATTTGTATAGCTTGTTCTAAGCCATTTTTTTCGCTAGAAAACGAATGGAAAGTAAACAAAGCAAAGAAAGAAAATTATTGTCAGCAACTATAAACACCCAATCTAGGCAAAATTACGCATGAAATGTTTTAGAACATGTTTTCGTATTGCATTAAATTTTGTATTAAATGTCGATTATCATAAAAGGCAAAGTTTGTGTACTATTTTTTAATAGCAAATTTAATTTTCCTATTAAATAAGTTTTTTTTCCGCGATTGTTTCTTTGGCGTTCTGAGATTTTAGGGGTTTATTGGGATTTTTTGTATTTCTTTCCTTGATGTTTTCAAAACTTTAAGGAATCCTTCCTGTTTTATTTTTGGGGCCTTCGGTTTGTTTTGGGAATTTTTCGTTACCGTTAAGATTTTTTAGTCTTTTCGGCATTCTTCATGTTTTACATTTTGGGATCTTTCGTTTTTTTGGGATTTTTTCGTTACCGTTCCAATTTCTTACAGGCTTTTAATATGAGACTTTCGGGATTCTTAATGTTTTTCTTTTTTGGCGTCTTTCGGTGTTTCGGTGTTTTGGGGTTTTGGGGTTTTCGGGATTTTTCAGTTTTTCTCGTTCCTTTAAGGATTTTTCGAAAATTTTGCATTTCTGAAAGCCTAGGTACCTTAATTCACAAAGGTCCTAACCAACAAATTTTTTATTTTTCGTGAGAAGCAAAAAAAAAACATTATAAAGAGAGTATCAAAAAAAGTAGGACTTTGTAGGCATGTAACTCCGTTTTTATTGAAGGTGTATTTTAATACATCCTATCAAAATCTGTGAATTTGTAGTGTGATTTTAGGCTTCTGTATTTACATTCGGCTTCTTCTGTATCCACTGTAATAATGCCGGATTAAAATTCAGCGCACTAAAGGCCTTCGATAAACTAAAGACGATCAGGGTTTAGAATTTTGTCAAAATTGTGTAGGCCTGAGTTAATTTCTGGTAAAAGGATTTCAGCTTGCCTGCGCTTCTGCCCTATCCCTATTTTACAAACGTCCATTTATTTGATTTATCGGCGAACCAGTTGGTCAATTGCTAGAAGTGGGTTGTAAATAAGCCGTGTGGTGGCAAGTTGGTCAACCTTCGACAAGTTGTACGTTATTTCAAGTAATAAATCAGAGTGTGTTAGTGGAAAAGTGTGAGTGCCGTACATGCTGGAATCGCGACATCAATGCTGGGAAAAACGTTCTCTACCTGGGAGAATATATCATTAACCAAGAACAAAAACACGAGAATTTTCACAAATAAGATGCCATTATTTCATTTATGGCGAAAAATATGTACATCTGACTGGCAACAGTTTAAGTCATACTTATTATACTTATTACTTACATACTTATTGTCGCATTGTTCGCCTGTGGTGTCCAAAATTTGTTGTGCTACATTTGTTATTTCCGATATCAACCATTTCCACATTTCTGCGAAGGCATCCATATTTTCATTCGCAGGAACACTTGAAGGATATCTCGACAATATCTTAGCTGCTAGTATAACTTGTGGACCATATATCCGTAAATTAATGGCTAAGCATTTCGATTGTACTTGTAAGCTCTCTGTAAAAGCGATGTGTTGTAATAATTTGCATACATCGATAATATGATCACAACAGTCATGAAATTTATTTGACCACTCCTGAAAGGATGTCGGATCCTCGTTCATAGCTAATAAATGAAAATTATTTACTAATTCCACTGAGGTTTTCAGCGAATGATATAGATCAGATGTCTGATCGGCAACGGAGAGTATTAGCTGTTGTGTTAGATTTTTTGATGTACTTATAACTCTATCGATTTCTTCGTCCATTATATGTCTTGTATTGCGTTCGGTCTTATATAAAATATTTAAACATTTTTTAAGCTCTAGTTTACATCGATCACCAAGGAATAAAATATGTTCTCTATTTTCATGACTTGTATAAGCAGAATCAGTAAAGTCATGTGTTTTCTCTAATAATTTTTCAAAAGCATATATCAGTTCTTCGATTAATTCAATATTGAATGGTGTCATCAAGTCTCGATCCGAAAATGGTGAAATTTTTGTACCACATTGCTTATAATTATTTCCTATTAGAAGATTTTCATCTTCACTACCAAACGAGTTTCGACGTTTACTATATTCATTGTTCCATTTCTTTTCGCTTAACGTAGTTGAGGTGGCGATTTTTGAATAATTATTATTTCCTATATACATAGTAGATTTGACATCGTCCAATGGTTTCGAACGAAATTTCTCCAACAAAAATGTTAAATAGTTCGATGATGATTGCACAGTTTCGCCGCTAATATTTTTAGGGCCGCCGCCATGCTCGTTATATGGTAAGAATGCCGATTCGAATATGCAATCTTTCACAACAAAATGTATTAAATCCATAGCGCGTCTAATTTGACAAAATACTGTATCTCGATTTTCTTTAGCGATCATACAATCATAATGTAGAAGCGTCGCTTTGGACGATGATAATAATATAGAGATAGAGTGTTCCAATATTTGCTTGGCTGAGAACATTTGCGCTCGGCGCCGTTCTTCTTTGATATTATTCTGTTGATTTCGTATTAGATATGCAAGCTCTATCATTTCAATGCCGAAAAGTGAGTAAGCTCGAACAAATTCGGTAAAATTCACAACGGATTCAAGTTTTCGTAAACTTTTAACAATTTTCCTCTTAGCAGTGAGGAGCTGTTTAACAACAACAATATCAACTAAAAGCAAAATTCTAGTTACAGCAGATATGAGAGCTTTAGCTGCTATTATTATTGCATTTTCATCGTATGCAGGTATATCTAAAGTTGAGTAATTCATGTTATCCATGGCAGAAATATCACATAAGCGTTCTATTGATTTTCCTGTAAGTAAAAAAAAATTATTAAATTGATTGAAACAAAGTATATATGTAGATGTATGGTAAATGTTGGTTGAAAATGCTTAAGGCACGGGGTATAAGAAAACCAGGTTTACAACCACAATTTTTAAAAATAAGTAAGATGTCAATATTTCTTCTATAACGGCAGCTGTGTACATCTGACTATGAAATTATGTGAAATGATTAGTTAGTTACCTGCATCTCTTGCATTTCTGCAACACTCCAAAATATCTGATTTGATATCGAGATTGTCCTCGGCAATTATTTCTCCTATTGTCACGAACCTCTCAATTGCTAAATTAACAGCATGACCAACATGACTGATAACCTTTACGCTACGGTCAGGTGCGCCGATTTGATGTTTCTCTGTAGCAACCTGAAATTGAGGATATATTAATTTTTGACTATTTTAAACAAGTGCATATATATGTATGTGTGCAAGTATAGACACCCTGTCGGGAATTTCGTAGTGGACTACGAAAATAGCCAACTTTTGGTCGACTTATTACGGCTAACTTTTAATTTGTTTCAAAGTCAAGCAGAGCTGAATCGAGGGAATATGTGTGTATGAATTTATGTAAAATTATTTCACAATTTTCACTTTCGGCAAAAAAAAACTTCCCAATAAACATTCGGCTTGGTTAACAATTCGAAAACGATTGGAAAACCAATCTTTTTTCGAGTCTCACCTTCGATAACGAATGTGAAATAGCTTAGTATTCACTTCGAGAACTAGGACATTCTTCAGCAAAACGGAACCCTCGTTATCCAATGTATTTTTGTTTCGTTATGAATTCGAAATCCAGCCCACTATCGAATTGGAATTTTAATATGAGAGAGTTATTTTCTTATATTTCCCTTCGAGAATGAGCTAGATTTCATTTTCTCTCTTGTTACTATGGTTTCCATTTTTTTTTGAACCCATCTCGAGTGTATTTCCAATATACTATGAACGTTGGAAAACTAAGGTTGTTTATGGGTTGGTTCTCAGTTCAATATTCATATTGGATATCGAAGGTCATTTTCGAACGTTCGCCAAAATGTTTATTGGGTTGTGTTAAAATTTTAACAATGTCGTACATTTAGTTGCGTTCGATAACAAAATTAGCCAACACCAGCCAACAATCAAAATCAAGAGAGTAAGCGAAAATTCTCTCCCAAAGAGATGAAAAAGCAAAAAAGTAAACGAACAGGAAATTAGCCATTACTTGCAAAAACCGGAAGAAGAAGATACACCAGCTGACTTTGTTTATGTTTTATTTGTAAACAAACTGAAATTCATGTTGCCTCCATAGAAGAAAGAAGGAAAGTGAACGTTCAATGCTCGCCAGGAACATTTCTAGAAGTAAAAACTAGTTGGCGGTATCATAAAGTCACATAGCAGGCAGCCAAAAAGCATATAAATACCAAAACTCTGAAAATGCAATTTTGTTTGTTTACAAAAGTTGCAACCATATGTTTTGTGATCATATGTTTTCGTGTTGGATAATTTTTGCTGACTAAAATTTTTAGTCTGTTCCTTTGAACTTCGGACTAAAACCTGTGGAACTGTCAAACTACAATTTTACGCTCTCAAATGAGAGTAAAAGGAGAACAGATGCAGAGTGCATAGGAACGCAAAAAGCACTATTTCCTGTAAAAACGTCAGACGGTTTGTTTACATGTCATTGGTACTACACCGATTTGGCTGAAATATCACTAAATAATTATTAAAATTTATACATATTCAAATATTTCGTTGTTTACTTCCATTTTTCAACAAATATAAGCTTCTTTGCTTTCACTGCTTTCTGTTTTTGTTTGCACATGTAAATCAGCTGATCGTTTGACACTTTTCATGAACTTACAGGAAAAAAATCTCCGGACTAAATCCTGTAACTTCTGACTAGGAACAGTTGCTCATTTACTCTCTCAAATGTGTTCCCACTTACAGGTTTTGTGTCAATAGGAACGACTTCCTGTAAGTTCTGACTAAATCCTGTAAACCGGACTGCTATTGGAACAGACTATTTGCCAGTACAAAATGAACGCTTCCTTGGCATCAAAATGAACGCTTGCTCTCTCAATTTTTGTGTATTGGATAATTTTTTGTCGTTATCGAACGCCATCCAGGAAAAATTTGTAAAAACTATTACAAATTTTTGACTTGTCGAACGCACCTATTTATTGTCATTGTCTTCTTTTTTGAAAACGAGAAAACATGGATTTAGGTTATTTTATTTACAATATAGCCGAAAATGTACGTATGTATGTATGCTTATATATACATATGTTTCCTACGTATGTATGACGTATGTTAATAGCACATCTTTAGCGGTCTTGATACATGCTAACTAAATAGTTATCATGCCGCTAATAGTTAACCTAAAATAAGTATAAAAGCCGAGAGTACCAGAAACGTTCTATTAATTGGCACACTACAAGTGAACTTATTAATAACCGGTTTGTAGTTAGCTAAAAACAAACTGACTTTTTTTGCGACATTTATAGTTAGTTGAGTTCCCTACAGGGCATTTATTTTATTAAAATACACATATACATTTTGAATGATGTTTCGATACCAAATTTCGATCTACTAAATATTGTTCAAACATTTATTTTAATTTTTTGCTTTTAGGCAGTAGTTATAGTTTAGTATGTACAAAAGCGCTAAAATCACACTTACCCTTCTCTCACACTCATACGACGACATTTTTATTAATATAGAAGAATAGCATTCAGTTTAAATTCTTAGAGTTAGCTTAGTAATTTATATAGGCGCAGTTTGGAAAGTTCGAAAAAAGTTTGCTGGAATAGTTGAAGAAAAGTTTAATTTGCTTGCATATTATGTACATATTTACATATACACGAATACAAATTACGATAAAAGTGCATAGTACATATGTACGTTTAACAAAATTTTAACTAAAACTTTATTTTAATTTTTTTTAATGTTAAAAAAAAATGTAAGTACATATTTGTAATAAACGAACAGTCAGCTTTAGAGATTAAAAGCAAAATACTTTCCCTGGTCAATCCAATCTTTCTCGCAGCTTATAAATTTGATATCTATAAAAAGCATTAAATTTAGCCTGGCTAAGTATACATATATTTATATGTATGTACGTAAATATATGAAGTAGCGCCTAGCTGCTTCTTAAGAAACGTCCACTTCTTATACAGCCATACATACATACATAAATATGTTCATAAATACATATTTAGATAATGTCTATGTAAGTATCACCTACATACATACATCCAAAACCTATGCATTTATACACTACGTATGTATGTATGTATTCCAGCTCGTATTAGACGCGCATTATAAATTATTAAAATTTTATAGTAGGAAAACTTAGATTGAATATACTAGCGCGCAGTTTAATATGGCTGGCAATGGTTTCTAAGTTACATATTTGAAACTCTTTTTTATCAGTTTTAACGAATAATTTTTCCTTGTTTATGTACATTACTGCAAATATGTACATACAAAAAAGTTTTCTTTCTTCACAATGTGTAGGCTGATCGCAAACAATCGCTCTTACCTGCGCCTGTAGCACTTTACCGTTATTTAATTTCCTAATGCATCACGTCAGGATTGGATCCAAATATTTTTTAACAATAGTTAGTAGATATTTATATTGAATGAGTTGAAAAATCAACTAAATATTCTATACCAGCGACCTTGCCACATTTCCAATCAGATATGGAGGTATCGCTGCCATATTTGTATATTTCCGTATGTTTACCTTATGAGGTGGTTGCATATTTATAGGCGCATAGTCAAGAAATGCATGGTAAATTTGAATAATTTAAAAAAAATTGAACAGCCTCGTATCTTAAAAATCAAAAAAACTCATTAAATTCATTAGTTGATTCATATGAAAAACTCACTTGTTTATTAATTAAAAAATCCAATTGGATTTTACTGCACCGTTCTGGCCACACCAACAGCTGAGCAATCCAATTTGTTAATCAACTTTATTTATCGATAACATCTTAACTATATGACTTGCAAGTACAAGCAGAGTTTTCGTTCATAAGTTTTTAAGTGTTTGCATAATCCGGACGTGCCCAGTGAGTGAAGAAAGTTGCATCATGTCGTGCCCATTTTTAAGTCGCTTTAGTGCAAATTATGTTCGCAATTATTCGGAGTTTTTGGTGCAAACATATGGCGTTTATTGTCCTGTTTTAAGCAAGCAATTTCATACCAATGGTAGCGATGGCAATAAGGTACCATCGTCGGCAGTAGCAGCAGCTGTAACAGTGCCAAGGACGAACATCACTACCACTCCTCAACGCTCTTACTCTTCTGCTCTACAAACGAACGAATCTTTGGCAAAGCCAACAGCAAATTGCGTAAAGGAATTCGGTAATCGAAATGCTGCTGCTGAAGTGACCGAAAAGTTTGCCTATGAACATTTTTTCCGTGATCAAATAATGAAGAAAAAGCAAGATTATTCTTATCGTATTTTCCGAAAAGTTAACCGTTTGGCTGGTCCTGGACTTTTCCCTCATGCCTTAGAATATTCCAAAGATGAGAGGCCTATTACGGTGTGGTGCTCCAATGATTACCTTGGTGTGTCAGCACATCCAAAGGTAAAAGATGCATCCATCAAAGCTATTGAGTGTCATGGAACTGGTGCTGGTGGCACACGTAACATATCAGGCAACTCTCTTCACCACGAAATGCTCGAAAAACGATTGGCACAGCTTCATCAGAAAAGCGGGGCACTTATATTTACATCGTGTTTCGTTGCAAATGATTCCACGCTATTTACATTAGCAAAACTTTTACCTGGATGCCATATATTCTCGGATGCAGGCAATCATGCATCGATGATACAGGGCATACGGAATAGCGGAGTGCCAAAGCATATATTCCGCCACAACGATGTAAACCACTTGAGAACACTGCTGCAACAGGTGGATAGAAATGTACCGAAAATAGTTGCTTTCGAAACCGTACACTCGATGACGGGCGCTATTTGTCCATTAGAAGAATTATGTGATGTTGCGCATGAGTATGGCGCTTTAACTTTTATCGATGAGGTGCATGCAGTTGGTTTGTATGGACATAATGGTGCTGGTATCGGTGAACGGGATGGATTGCTTCCAAAAATGGATATAATATCGGGAACATTGGGCAAGGCTTTCGGAAACATCGGCGGTTATATAGCGAGTAGTTCAAATTTGATAGATATGATACGCTCATATGCGGCAGGATTTATATTCACAACTTCTCTGCCACCATCTGTAGTATGCGGTGCATATGCTGCCATCGAACTTTTGGCCTCAGACGAAGGACGCAAATTGCGTAGCAATCACCAGACCAATGTTAAATATTTGAGGAGCTTACTAAAACGCGAAGGTATGAAACTGTTATTAATATGCTGTTTTTTTTATTAATAAGGCATATATTTGATATGTATGTGTATATGCATTTGTAATCATTTTAACATTAATTTGCGGTCTCTGCACTTTTATATGCAGTTAAAATTACTACCAGTTAGGAAATAACCAGCGTGCGTGTCAGGTGGTTTTTGAAACATATGTATGTATGTACACATTCTGATTAACACCAATCGGTTGAATTTCTAAGATTCCGTAAAAAGTCGTTTATATATATAGTCATTGCTACTTACTTACATCTTGAAGATTTTTTATCTATTTAGTTTTAGCAAACATACATATGTATGTATTCATTTATTTGTAGTAAATTTCAGGTATATAAGTATGATGTACGTGACGATTTTTATGGCCGCATTAGTTTGTCAAAAGCTTGTAAATAAAATCTACGTGCGTACCCCGTAGCGAATGTCATGAATTACTCACCTAAGTGTCTTGTACGGCCATATCAAGTCTTCAATGACTTTGGGCTCCGTTTATATGGAAGTCGTTCATGACTTTTTCATACAAATGGTAATTTAGTCGTTGATGGTATTGCATGACTTTGTCATGCAGTGATCATTGATGATATTCAAGCGACAATGTCCTGCAATGAACTTTTTATAAGTGACCGCTGAAAGACATTGTCTGTTATAAGTCTTTGATAGGAGTACACCTGCATGACATTGTCACCAGTGGCATTGCCAGCTATATGTCGCTTATCCAAATCCTCATTAGTGACGATGTCACCAGTGAGCATTTTCGCTACTGGGTATGTATAAGAATACATACACTAGGTTTTTTTTCGGCACGCGATTTCGTAAATAATCAGAAAAAGTGTCGAATTTAATTATTTTTATTTAGCTTTTGTTTACGTTTTCCACACGCAAAATAATTAAGATAAGATAGCATTTTTAATGTACAGTATTTTTACAGTAGATAATTTAATCAACATACTTTTTTTGAAATTTTTTTTCAGGTTTTCCAGTTGAAGAAACAAGAAGTCACATTATACCAATTCGCATTGGAGATCCCTTAAAAACTACTCAGATATCGGACATCCTTCTCCATGAATACGGCCATTATATGCAGGCCATTAATTATCCGACTGTTGCTCGTGGTGAAGAAAAATTGCGTTTAGCACCGACTCCATTCCATACGGTCGAAATGATGCAGCAACTGGTGTCTGATATGAAGCGTGCATGGAAATCTTTAAAATTACCCATGGCTGTACCCGCTTGTCCTGAGGGATGTATGTTCTGCAACAATGGGCTAGGGAACGTCTCGAATATGCTCATTCCGCCATCTATAAGTGGTGATTTGAAATGTGAAATTCCAAATTGTCCCAGAGTGGTTGCTGCAATGGCTTAATGCATTTTATTTATAAATATCACTGAAATTTTGAATGGGTATACCATACATACTAAAGGGCATTTGGTGTCGGAATTGCTAATAAATGATTTCTTCAAGCACAAAATAAATTTGCTGACTTTTATTTTGCAAATATCTGTACGTACATACATACATACATATGTATACGTATCGTATATACATACATTGTGTATGGATGTATCTATGTATATGCGAATATCCGATAGATAAGTGTTTTATCGCCTATCGTCAGGCTTGAATGCATCGTATTGTTAATTTGGTTTTTGGCTTGTAGTAAAAAACAGCTTACAGAGAAAACCATGTCATGTGGGCTAAAGCTTTCGCATTAAACAAAAAACAGGTATTTTTCTTTGTTTTCGTATCAATTTTTTGTGGAGGTGTATTTGAACATAAACTCTTAAAGAACCGGTTTGGAAGTAAGATGTCATTTGAGGTCTTTGTAAATGACGACGGCATATTGAGTTGAAAGCGAAGTAGGGAATATATATTTATGCAGATATTTTAATGACCGCTCCCGGCGTTGCTGGAAATATTTACATATGCAAATGTGCGCTGCGTATTGTTTTCTGTTGTTTTCAATTCCGGTGAAATAGTTTATAAATTACATTTCCCTTTAAGCACCTTATCTGTAATAATCGCACTTATTCGCGCTTATCAGTTTCACACGTGGGTTAAAGACTGAATCATGATCTAACTGAAGAATAATAAAAAACTATTTGCTTTATATAGTATCAAAACCGGTTATATGTAATAGGTACAATATTTTTACTTGGGAAAATTGTTATTTTGTATTTGGCTAGCCAAATAATCTTATGACCTACTACAGTTTTGGCTGATAACCTTCAAATTGCAAAAGTGCACATGAATCAGCCAAAATTTCGATTATCTTAAAACGAATGTGAATTGCGAGTAAAACAAGTACACTTACATACATATATTGACTGGTAGTTACTCATAATTTATCTGATTAGCACCTGTTGGCAAAAAAAAAATATTTCTCGCTTGATATACAAACTGATAGGCAGTTTGTAGTTAAGCTTTCCAACATCGGACATACGACATATTTATGGGAGCCGAATATGGGGCAAAAAATAATTTTGCAAACTTTTTCCAAAACAGCTTATAGATCTTAAAGATGATCCTGAAACAGTATCCCTATAGTAACATCAAAAATTTGTAGGATAATTTCTCGAGATTTTTACCCCGTAAAATTTATTAAGTTTTAGTACAATAAAGTGCAATTTTGAAGTCGCTAAGGCCTACCATTAATTTTTGGGTTTTTGTTTTTTGTTCCGCCTTTTCACACAGTAAGTACGTTCGACCAATTTTTTGAAAGAGAAGCAAATGAGCTGCACTTTCCACTCGCAATTTATTATACTAAATTTTAATGAGTTACAAAATTGCAAACCAAATTTTTTCTAAAGATTCGAATTAAAAAGTTCGAAATTTTGGTGAAACACTGCAGAATTAATTTTTTTGGAAATTTGTTAGGAAAAGAGCTTTATTTTCATAAAATAATTAATAAACTTAAATAAACTAACGGAAAAAGCAAGATTTCACTGTAACTGACTAAAAAGTTTATAGCTTTTTTTTCGAATGTACATACTATGCATAAATACATGAGTGTCAATGAAAATCGTACAGTAAATTTTTTCCATATGAAATAACAAGCGATCATTCATGATATGGAAGAAAATGCGCAACATTTACATTATACAAAAATTGAATGGGCTATAAAACTGCATACCCATAAAAATTCTAAAAATTCGGAATAAAAAGTGTGAAATTTTTATTATAGTTTGACGATTCTTTTACATTTGTTACAAATTTAGAAAGTTTGAGTTTTATGAATTTTGTTGTAGTGTAAACTATATTTTTATTAAACACTTCCACCGCGCTTTAAAAGTATTTTTGAATGGTTCGATACCGGTATTGTAATATTTCATTTATTTTATCAATTTAATTAAATCAAAATTTTCAAAGAGGCAGCAACCCTCCTTAAAAATATTTTCGGAAGTATAAATTCCTAAACTACTTCATTTTGTTACCCATATTGCAATATTTAATTTATTTTATCAACTAAAGTAAATTAAGATCTTCAAAAAATGTAGGAACCTCCTCAAAAAATATTTTCGTCCGTAAGCCTTCTTAAACCTCTTTCTGTTGGCACCATATTGCAATACATATTTCCTTAATCTTATCAATTTACTTAAACTGCAATTTTCAAACAGGTGGCAACTTTCGAATCTTTTTAAGTCTATATTTTATGTTTGACCTTTAGCAATACATCGACGAAGACTGAATTCAATTTCATGTATTAGTTTTCGAGTGATGAGCGTACAAACATACAGACAGGCGGACAGACATACAGACAGACAAAAAATTAAAAAAATGGTCGATTTATCTTCTATTGCTCTAATAAGGACCCCCATATTAATTTTTCTTTAATATCTATAATCTACAGACATCGGTCTGTTATAATTTTATTATATGTATAGATTAATAAAATTTAAATAAAACAAAATATTAAAAAAAAATGGAAAAAAGTTTACTGTAAAATTTTCACTTACACTTACTGTATGTATTTTTTTTTTGTGTTTTAGTTATGATTTAGTTAGATGTATTATTTTTTACTTTTTAACGGTTCTTTGTTTTTTCTTATCAGTTTGCTGCTTGATTTGTGTTTACATCACTACATAGAAGTCCGGTTTCTCCGCACATGTCTGTACCTAAGTTAGAGCAAATTCCCCGAAGTCTTCTTTATTCTAATCAATTTACAGATTAAGGGGATTTCCATGGAAAAATAATTGAAATTCATTTGTATCCTTATACAAATTGCGCATATGCAACTGTGCAAGTAGTATTTTTGCATGTATGTACATGCATACATATGTATGCATGAATTTTCGTAATTGGAATAAAACAATTGTAGATTTGTACATATTGTACATTCATATCTGAATTTGTACCAGATGCAAGAAAATTAATTTAAATTTATGCGTTTTTAAACATACATACATATGTATGTGCTATAAATATGTATACATGTACATATCGGGATCTCGTATTCAATACCCTCTATAAGCAAATTGCATATATGTATATAAACGGGCGTTCGATATTAAAATTCATATAACAAAGATCACATGAAACCAATCTGGTCACATCATTTCACTATCGAATACCGTTGCCTGTTCATATTATACAGAATACATATATTTATTTGTATTTTGCATATGCATACCAGGGTTGTTGCGAATATTCGCAATCGCATTCGTAACCGCGGAGGTTTCGCATTAATTTTAACATTCGCTTTCGCTTTCGCATTCGCAATAATCAATACGGAGCTTTTCAGAAAGCGAATGTTGTGCAAGGGCACTGATAAAACGTATATGGAAAAATCTTTTTAGATGGGGCTTTTTCAATACAATTTTGCTTTTTTTTTCAAAATAGTAGCACACTTTTCCGTAATTTATCACTTGTCAAACCAATTGAAGTACATTAGTACATTATAACTAATGTGACCAACCGTACTTCTTTCGGAAGTACAGTACTTCTTTTTTCGCTCTTGTACTTCGTACTTCGAAGTACAGTCAAATGTACTTCTTTCCGATATTTTGTACTTCTCCGATCTTCTGGATGATCGTCACATGGCCTGGGCGATAAATTCGTTCAAACCATTAACAATTCCGCGTTTAAACCTACTTAATAAGGCTTATCTACCGCTCTCACCTACTCTAGATTGCGGTTGTAAACCACCTTCTAGAGGAACTGGGAAAAGTGGGCTGTCGGCTGATTGCCTATGTAGACGTTGGGGAACTTTAGGTTAAGGGACGATTTACCCCTTTTTTGATCTGACTCCCTTTCGATCTGCCTCAAGGTTACCTGAACCAGGTAACTAGGTGGGCAATGAACGGCAGCTGTCGTAGAATTCTAATATTGAGGAAAGGGTAGGAAAGGTGTCGGTTGCCTTGTACTTCTGTAGGGGAGCTATCGGTAAAAGGTGGGGTCTGTCGCCGAAATTAATTCATTAGCTCTAGAAAACCAGATTAAGCCTATATTGTTTCAAGGAGCCCCTGTCTTGTGGTACTCACTAGAGAAGACTACACTTGTTAAACATGAATTAGCGGAGCATTAGGAACCTACACTGGCGCTTAACAAAAATATGTTGATCTCAGCGCCTGAGGATATTGCAAACAGAATTGTCGCAGCACGAACTGCTATTAGGCTAAGGTAAACCGGAAAGAAAACTTTTCTCTGCTACAGCAAATGTTTTTATAGGGCACTTTAAAACACGTTACCTCTCAAGGGCTAGTGATGGGTGTTCTGACAGGCCATGTGCAGTTGGTATTCATGCGGTGAGACTAAGAATTTCGACTGATCATTTTGTGTCAGCTGTCAAGAGGAAGATGAAGTGAATCTCCACACTTTCTTTTAGACTGTCCAACCTTCGCGAGACTAAGATGGAAGCATTTTTGCTAGCAATTTTGAACAAACACTGAGCTCTCAGGGATCGAAATTAGCCGGATTCGAAATTTCATAATCAACTCGCGGCGTTAACTTAATCCAACCTAGCCTGTACTTCTTTGAGCTATGAAATAGTTGGTCACATTAATTATAACCCGTGTAACTAATATTTTTTAATTGTTACTCTATTTAAACCATACTACTTGTTCAATCTGACTTGGTCTAGTGGCTATTTCAAAATCGTACGATTTTTTTTTTGTTTGTTAATAACAGGTTTACAAAAAATAAGTGTATGCATATTTAACCAAACCTATATGTCCCTATGCTATTCGACACGCTGAATGCGAATCCGAAATCCGTTAGTCTCCATCACGTCAGGTTCGTAGGCAGTTGAAGGTCAAGTAGGGAAAAATTCATTGAATAAACCTGAAAATTCATATATATATAAGGTTTTAGATTCGCTGAATCCGAATCCGAGATCCGTTAACCTCCATAATGTCAGCTTAGAGGTCATTTGAAGGTCAAATAGGAGAAAAACATGTATTCAATAAAAATAAAAAATTTTGTTTTTGTTGTCGCTGAAACCAAGTATGGGGGTCCCTTGGTTCCTCATGGTCATCTA